CTGCCTGGCACAGAGGATTCCTCACCAACAAATGCAAAAAGATGCATCTCTCTGCTGTCTTTGCAATACTTTCTTTTGGGTATTTTTTGTTACAGTGTCAAACTCTGTGAGCTGCACAGATAATACCCATAGCCTCAGCCTTAACCCAAGTTGCTCAGACCTTTGGGAATGCTTGTGTAGGATGTCTGGACCCTCGCAATTGGTCTTACAGGGAAGGTGGAACTGGAAATGTTCTCTACTATTGTGAAGAGGAACTTTGCCTTTTTGGGGGAGAAGCAGGTGTCCTCCTATGGGGACAGGAGGTTGTCAGTTACCCCATAGCTCAACTAAACTGAGGGGGTGAGTCAGGCTTCCTGCTTTCAGGTTTTATTTGTTATGCCAGGCTGGTCTAGAGTGTATGTGAGGCCAGTTCCCACACTTCTCCTGCTGCAGCATAGCTCCCCAAGCTCTTGGAGCTCTCCTAGTCTTTTCACTTCAAAAAGGATGTTTTGCGTGCACTGCTATTGTCGTGCATCATTCAGAATTTCTACTGGGCTTTTTTCCTTTATCCTGGTGAGTTAAAAAAAAAAATTAGTCATGCAAGGACATTTTTTTTTTTCTAGAATTTGAGATGTATACCTGGGTAAAACTCTCCTCCTGCAGCGCAGGTTGGAACTTTGACGGATTGCAACTTAATGTAATATCCAAGAGCATTATATAGGGAGGAGTCAAACAACCAAAGAGTATATGTACTGGTATTTATGCAGAAAACCATAGAGGACTGAATAGAAATGCTTCAAAAACTGAAGCTTTTTTTGTTTGTTTGTTTCTGGGTTGTTGTTTGTTTGTGGTGTTTGGGGTTTTTTTTGTTTGAAACTATTATCAAAGCCTGTTTTGGATTTGTTCAACTGGCCTGCTTTGATTAATTTAAAATAAACTTGGGATTTTGCAATCAGTGACCTTGGCGCATGACTTTGAGCCTTGTTTGAAGAATAGAAGCACACTGTAACCTACATTTCCATTCAGTCAGATGGGATTTGGGGTCTTATGAGATACCAACAAAATGCTGATTGTGAGCCAAACAAACTACGTGGCTCTTGTCAGGAGGATTTGCTTTTAGCTGAGGACATGTTTAAGATTAGTCTGGTGAAGTACTGAAATGTCTGTCAAGGTTGATTCAGGTACTTCAAGTGTGACCAAATCCTACCACCTCACTATGCAGGCTTCAGGAAGTTCCTGTTCAGAAAGTGGAATGTTTTTACTAGCACAACTATACCACAAACTAAACCTTAGAATTACTTATCTATTACTGAGCAATGTTTTTAACACAGTAGAGACAGTGAACTCTGTTAAAAAAAAAGGAACTTCTGATCCAAATTAGATGTTATTTGGGTGAACTTTGTAAAAGATTGGATAGGAGATAAATGGGTATTAGGGGAGAGAAGGGAAGGGATTGAACGGAGTTGATCATAATTTCATTTGATAAGTTTCTTGAAGAATTTGGGGAGAGAACAAAAGCAAGAATTCTCTTGAAAACGTATCTGAGTAAAAGACAGAGAATTACGTAGGCCTCAATCTTTTAAAAATAATTTTTAATTAATTTTTTCTTTGCCTTATTATTAATATTAATGATAAAATGCAAATGAAATGATTGGAGATTGTTTTGTTTGGGGAGGTGTTTTTTGTATTTATGTGTGAGAAGGGAGTGTTTTATCTCATTTTGTTCACTTTACTGACAGGTAACTTATTTTTTGAGGTAGACAGAAAAGCAGATATGAAGGGGAAATCTTAGGAAGCTGAGGCACTTCATCTGTGGAAGGAGAGAGAGATTTTTCCATAAAAAATTCTGAAGATCTAATTAAGGGTTACCTTTCAGTCATATGAATATCTTGTTAGTTCTGCTTTGTTATTTGTATAAGCAGCTTAGATGTGATTTTTGTCCTGATAAGTTACAGTCTGGGAGAGCAAGGAGGAAAGACATCAGTGAAATCAGCTTTAGAAAGCTGGTTGAAAGAATTGCCTGGAGGAGGGATTTAAGTAACTGCAGAGAGAAAAGGATTTCAAAAGGCAGCAAAGTCAGAGCTATTTGAAGCAGAGTAGATGATGTTACCAGCTTCTGTGCTAGGCATCAGGCACCAACACATAGTTCAAGCTCTGAGATTACAAATCATGGGGCTTCAGTGCAGCCCTTTTCCAGGGTTTGCGTATGAGATGGGATGTGATGGCATGGGAGTAGAAGAGTGCCTGTGTCAGGAGAGGGGCAGCTTTTGGCATCTAGACCCTGAATTATCTGGTAGTAACCATAAGAACTGTTTTGATATTATGTTAAGTTCAGGTATTCACAAGGAATAAAATAATCCTCTGCTGGAGAAAAGAAAACCGGAATTTTGGGAGATAGAGTGGGTTTCTAGAATGGAATGTATTGTTCACAGCCTTGGTCCCACATCCTCACTGCACTGACACCCCAACTCCCATGTCTTCTCAGTATTCAGTGTTGCCAGGTTCCTTTTGATTGTATCCTGTTCTAGTAAGGTGGTTGGTGTGCAATTTCAACTCCAGGCATTTCGTGGTAGCTGACTGCCAAGTTAGTCTGTTAGGTCACTTTGTTCTCATAGTCTTTCTGATGTATTCAGTGTCTTGACAAATTTTCTTGGCAAGAGCTTTATGAAATGATACCATATTGTGCATAACTTAACTCATCATTATACTTTATGACATCTTCCACAAGTCCTGAAGTCCATTGCTAAGCTCGGAAAAAGAAACTAGGGCAACTCCAATACTTGAATGACTTTTGCAGGGAACAATAAGTGGTAGGAAAGCACTGATTTTTGTAAGGAGTCACTTTTGTCTCGTCTTTTTTAAAATGGGATTGAAAACAGCAGCATTAGTTAGGGACTAATCAGCTAAACTGACTATTGATTAGCTCCTGATCTGATAAAACTACACTTTCTGTGCTGCTGCAGTATTTTAATCATGTTTGTGGCATTTCAGACGAATGGGTGTTGGTCAGCTGATTTAAATGCTTTAATATGCATGATTTTGGGTGGGGTGTGTGTGTATTGTGTGTCCATCTCCCTCCCCTGCCCCTATGTTTGAATATATGATACTGCTTTTCCTAATGTCAAGAAAATGTGAGTATTTGGACTGGAAGCTTATCTCAATATTTGATCTCCAATTGCCCAAAGGTTAAGCACTACAGGGGGGGGGTGAGTGGCTAAATTGCTCACAAGTGCCTTGATTCTAAAAGGCTCCTTCATCTCTGCTCTCTGTGTGTTTTATAAAGTAATTTTATCCACAATTAGTGTTTATTTGCAAGAAATACTTGTAAATGACTGGTGGTATTCTGCATAGATAGAGTGCAGTGTGTGACATTTAACACTGTAAGGAAAACTTTCCATCTCTGAAAGCAGTTAATTACAGTGGATGTATGTTTTCTTAGAAAAAAGAGACTGTTTTTTCTAATCAGAGGCAGAAACATTCATTTGTGTGTCACAGTAGCATATTGCTCCTCCAAAGTCAAAAGAATCTATTACCTTTAAGCAAGGCTGACACAGAATGGACATTTCCACAAGAGCAGGCAAGCTGCAGCAGAGTCTCCTGCAAGCCTTCCTTTGGTGTTTGATTTCTTTTCATTTCAACAACCTTTAGCAAGTGTTTTCCTATTGTGTAAACTTTTACTGTAATGAAAATGTTAGAGATCAAGAAGTCAGTTATATCTTGAACTTGCCATCAGGATTATGATGTGCCTTCAAGCTCTTTTAGTTTCTGGGGAGGCAGCAGTTGTTTTTAAAGACATTGCGTGCCTGATGTGAAACTGTTTGTCCAGTAGTGGATATACTGTCTCTGAATATTGGTCAACTTGTTGACTCAAAACTGGTAGTAGAGAGGAATGGGTAGATAGTGTTTGTGGAAGAAGACATGTGGAAGATGACATGAAGACATGTCATCAAAGTGACAGTGTCTTTGCTTGGTTGGAACAAGATGTTGTGTCAGCTTGCACAGGTTTTCCCAAAGTGAACCCAGGACTGTCAAAGCACGTGTCAAACTGAAGCAAAACTGGTCAGTTTGTGGTGAGATTCTCATGTAGAAAGTGGAAAACATGTATGAGCTTGACTCCTCTGGCATGGATGACAGTAACCACGATGTTTTGGATAATGTAGAGTTCTGATTAGGGTTTTAAACTGTTGTTAGTAGAATAACTGTTATTTCAGCCTGACTAAAACAAGGAAGTTGTGGTGTAAGTCTCAGGATACTTTTGGCTGTTCAAAGCCTGTACGGAGCTCTTAGTGCTGGTTTCTGCATGCCTGCAGCTCTTAGTGCAGATCTTCTGCTGTCTACACCGCAGGTGGGACAGATGGTTTGAGGTGGGCTTTTCGTGGTAGGGAGTTATGCTGTGCAGTTCTAGAGGGGTGTATTTAGTATACACCACTGTGTTGCCGTGGTACAAGCAAGCTTGACTAGCCTGTCAGAATATAAGGCAAAGTCTTTCCTTTCTATTTCTGTCATAGCATTTCTAATATATGCCATTTGAACAGACTGCCTTTAGCGGTAACAGCTTTGTGGATTTATAACAGGTATTTTGTTTGTGCAAGACTTGGAACTCGACAACCAACAGATTCATTATTCATAGCAGAGAAACTTGCAGGTAGGAAAACAACTGCGGATCTCATATTTCAACTGGGAGGCATACTGTTATCAACTTTGGCCATTAAGTAGTCCCTTTAAAGAAAAGTATGGTATGTCCAAGGGTAAAATATGCTCATGATGCTGTTGGTTCTTATTTATGTAGTTCTACAGAATATGCTTGTTTTGTCATGTGTAGGTGCATGCAAACAAGCAAGTATGCATTTGTGTATGTATGTATATGTGTAAGTCAGACAGGTATTTTAATTCAGTCAGTACTTGCAATATTGCTAAATTCTGGTTCCATACATGTTGAGTCACATATGAGAGACAGTTGGAGGCTTCTGTGCTTTGCTAACTTGGGCAATGTTTTCTTTTTTTGTTTTGTTTTTTCTTAGAGTAATAAATGCAGGGAAGAGCACGCACAATGAAGATCAAGCCAGCTGTGAAGTCCTCTTTGTCAAGAAAAAAGCTGGAGGCAGTAATTCTACACCAAACAAGAACTCTTCAGCAAAACGGAGGTCATCACTGCCCAATGGAGAAGGTCTCCAGCTAAAAGACAATTCAGTAAGCAGACTTCTGTATCTTGTCAGTGGAGAGGTACAAAAGAAATATAAAAGGATGTGGCAATATGGCACTAAAAGATGTTTACTGAATATTTCATATCATTTCAGTTACCTCTTATTGATTATCTCTGCTTAAATGCAGAACACTTCACTATATTTTTCTTAGCTCTACTACTTGATTTTTGGGGGTTTTTTGCATTGAAAAATACTCCTTGCATCTAAGATGGTTTAGTTTAAAGATGAGCAAGGATTGGTCAACTCCTTGGATTTTCATTTTTGTTTCATTTCTGAAATATAATCTTGAAAAATTTTAAGATGATCAGAGGGCTGGAGCGCCTCCCTTGTGAAGACAGGCTGAGAGCTGGGTTTGTTCAGCCTGGAGGGGAAGGAAAGCCTCCAGGGACACCTTAGAGCAGCTTTCCTGTACCTAAAAAGAGCTGGAGAGGGACTTTTTACAAGGACCTGTAGTGAAAGGACAAGGGGTAATGGCTTCAAACTGACAGAGGGTTTATGTTAGATATGAGGAAGCAAGTCTATGTTGTGAGGGTAGTGAGGCATAGGAACATGTTGCCCAGAGAAGTTTGGCCAGGTTGGATGGGGCTTTGAGCAACATAGTCTAGTGGAAGGCATCACTGCCCATGGCAGAGAGGTTGGGACTAGATAATCTTTAAGGTCTCTTTCAACCCAAACCATTCTATGATTCTCTAATATATACAGATGCCTCATGGTGCCACAACCAGAGGTCAACCTCAATCTGCTCCTTCTAAGCTTCTGCACTGTCTTGTAGGCACATTTGCTGTACCTGGAGCTCTGTGGACACTACGTTAACTGCTGTTTGGACTGAAGCTACTCAGGGCTCAGATAAAGACCTATATGAATCATAGAGGCTGTTAAAATGTGTTATATGATCAATCATCTTCCTCAGAAGGAACTTTTTTCCAAACATCACATAATTAATAAGTCTAGATTGCATTAAAAATATAGGGATCTAAAACGACTTCATTATTGGAAAGGCATCTTAACAAGCCTTGTTAAGATCCATTGTTACAGTTGTCATGCTTTTATGGTATTGTAATGATGGGGTCAATAAACTGAATGTTTTTGAAAGCTGTTCTTTTTATCCATTTGAAATTTAATGTCAACCTCATTAAATATCTAGTTACCCAGTGTTTATGAGAAGTATCTAATGAAATTTACTGATTTTTCTTCCTCTCTTCACTAGTGTATTTCCTACTTTGATTTTGTATCTTTCATCTTGATGTTGGAATAAACAGTCACTCCCTTTCAAATTTCTTGAAAGAGATATATTTATTTCAGATCTTCCATTCTTGATTCTATTTCTGACATATTTTTATCAGAACTTAGCATAAAGTCTAAAGTCAGGAGCCAGCTGATTCATATAATATAGTATACTGTTTTCTAGTTCCTTGTTATATTGTTCTTTATATGTTCTTATCTATAGATTTACTTCTGTAGTCTACATGGCACTGGAATGAGCGCTATAGCACTCATTATTTAGCTGTATAAAACCTATTCTACCATGTTATTAGACCACAGCTTGTGAATTTAAATCTGTTATATATTTTCCCAAAACAGACAGCATATTTCTTGAGAAAGTTTTCTCCTAGAGGGCAGTCTTACATTAGCAATTAGTAGGATTTTTTCATTGCTACATCTTTTGTTGGTTGAATATATCTAAAAAGGAAAAAAACCCCACATTTTTATAATGTGTCATATTTTTGTTTTCATATCTTTATACTGTGAGGTATAATATTGTGTTTTGCCCTCTCATAGCATTGTTAGCAAATATCTTTTAAGGAGTGTATGAGTTTGGTGTTACATGATTCATAATCTGAATGAATAGGATGTAGAAATACCAGCTTGAGACTCTACAGTGAACGATAGAATATTGTCCCATTAAGTATTTAGTAAGAAAGCCAGAGGCTGAATACTGTAAATGCCTTAGAGGAAAATCCCACCGTAAAACAAAATCTGAAATTGTCTGTGAGGTGGAGCACCTTACAGAATTACTGAAGAGAAAGGAATAAGGGAAGCACTTTATTGCAAGAAAAGATTTCTTCCGTTCTTGTTTACTTTTTTAAAGTGTGGAGCATATGGGAAATAGGCACTGGAACTTAATGGTCTCTTCATGTAAGAGAGTCCTTTTCATCATCCTCAGATTTTTCTTTTTTTTTCCACAGAAGCTGTTGTGGAGAAGGCCATGTCATCTTTGTTTTATCCTACTTTTTGGGAAGTTTGTCAAACTTAAATGACAGCTGCATTTGGGATTGTGTGATTATTGTTGTTTAATATTAACCCCATCAATCCAGCCCAGCACTTTGGCAAGGCAGCACAAGGAAGTCAGAGATCCACATATTGTCCACTCAAGCTGGGTGCTGCTATCACGGCCTTGACTCTGTGGGTGGACTCTGCAGAGCTTCTATGAGTGGGAAGGAGGAGGTGGCAGGCCAGAAATTTGGAGATGGAGCCCTGACACACTCGCAAATCCAAGGAAGCCTGTTAAATAGCATAAACATGGTTTTGTTTTTGAAAGAGTGGGTAATAAACTGAGCAGAACAGTGAAAGGAAAGACTCTGGAAATTCAACACTACGTTAATTCTCTCCCCTTTCACCCACCCCACTCCACTACAGCTTGATTAATCATGTTTGCCCCATTCAAGGGCATTCATGTTAAATTGCACAGCTTTTTCACTGGTACTATTTTTAAATGCCTTTAACTATGGAATACCTCAATGATGAATACTGAAAAACCATTAGCAAGTGAAATGGGAATCCTGTGCCAGGATATTGTCGTAGTGACAGGCTGCAGGACTTAATGTTATGCATTATTAATTGTCATTGTAATGCGAGGATACGTGATTATTAATTCTGCAGGTTTTTTGCACAAAGATGGTAACGGTGTATTCGTTTTGTGTGACACAGGGCTGGTAGCCTACCATAGGCAGCTGAACATATAATCAGTAACACGAGGAGGCTTTTCTCTGAGGATTGGGGTGGCAGTTGCTGGCCCATTTCAGATTTTATGACAGCTAAGGATGTCCTCTAATGCATTTTGTACGTGTAGTTCATATCTGGAACAGTAATGCTCAGAGTAGGTTATAGTTTTCAGAATAAACCTTTGGTGGCAACATGATTTTATTTGTCTCTTTGGAATTAGCTTCATAACAAAAATCTGATGGTTTGCAATGTAGGGCTACTGTCTAGCTTACCTGAAAAGCTCATCCCAAATTGACTACTATGTATTGCTAAGGTTTTCTTCCTATAATTGAGCTCCAATTATGTGTGTAAATATATGCATTTTCTTTTATGATTTCTCATCTGTTGCTTGACCCAAAACTTTGCATGTCTTAATTACATTTTACAATTTCAAAGCCCAGGAGACTGTTGAGCTTTCCTGAAAGCTAGGTCAGCAGTTGAGGAACCTGATGCTTATTAAATTTCCTGATACATTCTGGAGATGAATTGTAAGGTCAGTGCAGTGAAGGATCTCTGTTCTCTTCATGTTTCTGGTAGCTATTCAGCTTGCTGTTAAAATTAGAATCTTTTGAATGAAAATCTAAAATAAATCATTGTGGTGACTGATCACACTCCTGTTTGAGGACTCTGTCCAGTTAAAAGAACAAATGGAGATTGGTCTTTGAAAGACTACTTTTGACAGAATACTGCCAGTACTAGTAAAAATAGATGTCTTGTTCTCTGAGTTTGCAGAATGTCAATTCTTTTGGGGAAGAAGTTCAAGCTTTTAAACGTAAGAGAGGACAGCCATGCATATGCACACCGAAATAGGTAACGCTTGGTGGCTGTAGCTGTGCAAGGAAAAGCAAGGACCTTTTTGTGCATTTTGTCTCATCTGTGTGCCGGGATTGCTGGCCCTTGTTCATTCTCTGAATCACTGCTTTAATGGCACCATATATTTAATTCCCATTGAATTGGTATGGTTTTGCGGAATTCATTTCTTTCAAATAGAAGAGCTGTTTTTATTCTCAGGGTGGGGAGAAAAGAGTTTGTTTTTTTTTTTTCCTTTTTTAGACTGCTAATAGGTTACCTGTGGTTTTCCTCTTTGCTAGTTCAAAAGTAAATGACACTTTGTAAGAATACGTAGAAGTTGTTGAAGACTCGTATTTAGATTACAATAATGCCTGCAGATCACAGCTGAAGTTAAGGCCCTAGAGCATCTCGCACAGAATGTCTGTATGAGAGAAGTGTTATGGTAATCATCTCCCCTGACTGCTTATAATACAGACTTCCCAGTTATGTAGATTGCTTTGGAGAACTTAAGAAAATGGGGGCAGGGTGTGTCTATGTGTGAACTTGTTCTTAATTGTAAGTTTCTGTTACAGTTTGGGGGCAGGGGGAGAACAATGACAAAACATCATCTTCCTTTAGGTGGAAAGTAAAATATTTTCATCTCAGTCAGAGGTGTAATGCCTTTGTTTTTTTTACCCCAAAGGTAGCACATTTCCAAAGAAGTATAGCACCTTTAATTGACATGAGGATTTAAACTGTGGAAGCATTATCCATGGTGCATCATGACATGGATTTTGGCCAGAAAGCCAAACCCTATGAGAAGAACGGGAGCAGAAGTAGTTTGATCTACAGATCCCAGGAGGCACAGTGTTGCCATTTTGAATAAATAGTCTCAGTTTTCAGCTGAAATATTTTCATTTTCAGATACTTGTTTCTGTTGGCAAAATACTTTATATTTTGCATGAATAGCAATCTATTTATACAAGCAGGTTTTTTAGTTGCTAATCCTGTTAACCGTTAAAAATTACTTAGGCAGAATTTTACAGCCAACTGTTGTGTGAACTCAGAGGGATTCTGAGCCCAGAGCAAACTAGTACAGCTGCCAGTCCTACCTTCAGGGGGGAAGTATCTCAACAGGTTTTTTGGTGAATTTACCAGGCTGGGTCAGTGGGTGGGTCTGGCTAAGGAGCTGCATTCAGAAATGGATACATGTGTTGGTTTTTCCAACATTCTAGTATGTATCCTGTATGATCTTTACTATGGTAAGTAATCCAGTACTTTAGGACAATACTTCCTTATCTTAGCATTTCAGTAATGAAATTAAGATTTCACAATAGATTGCTGAATTCCTCCTTCTGGAGGAATTCCTCCTCTGCTGTGTAGATGAGTATGCTGTTGATGCACTGGTTAAGAATATTCTTGAACTTTACTCACTCACAGCTGTGTAACAGTGACTATCTCTTCCTTCCCTTTCTTCCCCTCCTGCTTCTCCAGGACTCAGACGGGATCAATCTGTACTACTGGTCTCTGTTTGATGGACACGCTGGGTCAGGGGCAGCTGTGGTTGCTTCCAAACTCCTACAGCACCATATCCTGGAGCAGCTGCAGGAGATTGTAGACATCCTGAGGAACACAGCTGTCCTCCCACCCACCTGCCTAGGAGAGGAGCCTGATAACCCAGCCACCAACAGTAGGACGCTGACACGGGCGGCCTCCCTGCGTGGTGGTGTGGGGGCCCCAGGCTCACCCAGCACCCCTCCAACACGCTTCTTCACTGAGAAGAAGATCCCACACGAGTGCCTGGTTATTGGGGCCATAGAAAGTGCATTCAAGGAAATGGTATGTACATCTCAGGGCTCTGAAGTCCTTGTTGCTTACATTAATGAGTTACATGACCTGGAGAAGATGAAGATTTAGAGGGGTTTTCTTTCACTTTTTTTTCCCCTTTCACTACTTTAACACTATCTGAGCTTGGACAGAACTATTTAAGAGCCTCAAGCTTACCAAGTGCATCCCTGTGAGGCAGGAACGGCACCTTAAATCCCAGGTAGCACTACAGCAATGTTTATGGATTACTTGTGTTGCCTAAAATCGAGAGAAAAAACTCACCAGGCAAATTTAGTATAGATAAGATATAGAGCAGCTCTTTTAATGAAGGCCTTCTAGCTCACGGAGTACAAAGGTGCATGCCCACATACAGAATCCTTACACTTTTATATCCCTTACTGAGTATCATATCTAATGGGGACATCCAATCCTAAGAGCCCTTTTGCCAGGGTACCACCCTCAGAACTGCCCCACTGGAGTCCCTCCAAGTGTCTTGAGCTTTCTATCTTGTTTTGTCTACCATATCTCTTGTTATTCTGGTCCAGGTGCACATCCCAATGGAATATCCTTGCAAAAAATCTATTACTGTGAAAGGATGGTTAAAAAACGTTTAAACCGAAGCCGCAGGATTGTGCCACACAAACTGTGAGAAAGTAACAGTTGAAAGTGAAAGAAAACTACAGCTAGATTAAAATCTACAAAAGGCTAAAAATCTTAAAAATTCTAGGGCATCAGTTGACTTTTAGAAGCATGATGCTATTCTCTTTTTTATTTTCCCCCTTCTTTCTTAACATAAAGATTAGCATTGCCTTACAGTAGCAGATATCAGCACTGGCTGCTATTATCAGGCTGAGTATATGGGTATGCACTTTACAAAGCCTTGTTGCCCAAGCAGTAGCAAAGACTCTTGGCACTTGTTGCCCAAAACGACATAAATGGGACATAAACAGTCACATCAGGGACATGGATAAGGGGCAGCCTCCTTGGTCCAATGACCTGTAGTTCATGTTAGTGTTGGACTGTCTCATAAAGCACAGCAGTGCCTGTACAGTGTGTGCAGCTCTTCACTGAGGCAGGTTGGGTGTGGGTGAGTGGGGCATGAAGTACATTTCTACCACCCACTTGAGTTATGTACAGCATGAACAACTGTGAGGAAATCATGAGGCTATGGAAACTGAATATCCATCTATTTCCCTGTGGAAGCTGTTTTTTCTATTCTGTAATTGATGTAGCTGCTCCACATCTTCCCTCTTCAGTTCTCCACGTTATTAAAAATTGTTATTGCCAGGCAGATCAGAGATTTGGCCCGCCAGTGAGTACGTGTGGATCAGGTCTTGGGAGATGTGATCTTGTTCTTTTTTTTTTTTTTTTTTTTTTCAAAATTTTGTTACCGTAGTTTTCAGAAAAGCTCCTTATTTGAAAAGAAGATTTTTGAACCAATCACTGTTTCCCAGAGGTCTTATTTGTTGTCTGAAAAGAAGTATTCAATCATAGTTTTTCCTGATGTATAGGAATTTTGCTCAGTACATGCAATTACAGACTAGAGTTGTTGCTACAAGTAGTACTTCACTTTGAATTCTGAATAACAATTATCTTGCTGGATTGTTCTTTCTTCCCAAGAAAGTGCAGGCAAACAGACCCATCAACTGGGTTTGGACTTGTAACTGAGTTTGTCCAGGAGTAGGACTCACAGCCATGGTTTGGTCATTGTTCAGTGTGGGTATGCGAGCAGATTTATGTCCTATGGCTAGTGGGCTCAGTTTCTGCTAAATGAAAATAAAGAGGAGGACACGTGAAAATCTCCTGTCAGTTTAGCATGCCTTTTCAGAAAGGGAGGACTCGATTGCTCAATCCTTCTTTGTTGAGAAAGGAGGGAGAAGATGACCGTGTCCATCCACTGCGCCCTGATGGGTTCAGAGCATACTTTAGAGAGGGACACCAATTTCATGCTTCAGTTGGCGTAATTTTCAGGCCAGACGACTGCCAGGCTCTGAGAGCATGACATGATTTTCTCCTGTCTGCAAGTGTAGAAGAGATGAGAAATGGAGTTTCATGGGACTGGGCAGTGAAGGTAAGGGCTGTTTCAAGTGCTCTACCTTTTTTATGAAAGCAGCGTGTGGGTTACCCATCGCTGCTTTCCTGAATGTGTCTGACTGAGCAGGGTTGTTACTGCCCTGCATTATTTTGCGTTCACATCTCCGGTACGTGTTCACACAGAAGACCATCTCAGCTCATGTTCAGGCACCTGACTGCTTGGGAGGGCTTTTGTGGATAGAGTATGACAAATGCAGAAGCCCTGGATAACTCACTACACTTATGGTGTCTGGGTATTCCTTATATAGGTTATAGTAATCTGTTCTTCCTGTTTCTAAACAGAATATTTTCCTTCCTGTGTCTTTGTTCATATGCCACAGATCCAATACCTTTAATTCCCACTTACTCTTTATCAGCGGGCCGAAGTTCATATGTCTTTGATACATAAATGACTCGGTGTCTACCACAATGCAATATAATTTCAGCATTAAGTTTTACTTTAAAAGGAAATCTTATAAAAATGGTCAGACTAAGAAAAGCAATAGATAATTACACCTACTTTAAGCTCTTGGGGAAGACTTGCACTTGTAATTGGTTTAGGCAAAAGAGTATTTACCTGTGTAAGGGAGCAGTTCATAAGACAAACACTCCTGTGTCGCATCTGTACTTGCAAAGATTGATCTTTCTCTGTCTAACTTCCTGCTAGCTTATACTCCTGGTAGTCTTTTCATGAAGATTTTGGGCCCCTTTGGCAGCATATTTTTTAACTGGCCCTGTTCTGTACTGGAACGTCATTGATGTTGTTTAGTTGGGTCAGTGCAGTTGAGATGTGCATAATGAATGAGGGGTTTGTGCCAGCAGAGTGTATCATTTTACTTACTGAAAGCTCATGTTTCCTGGAGCAAGGCAGACTTCTTGGTGGTGTTTCCTGAAATACCCGTTGCTGCAAAGCAGTCCTATGAAGCTGGTGAAAATGATGAATAGATACAGATGCTTTTTTTTTTTTTTAAACAGTCCAACCTGACAGGTTTATCTAAGGATGGTTTTGTCCCCTTTTCATGGGAGATTTTAGCATGCCATTACTTTTTTTCCTCAACTTACTCTTGAATTCTAGTTAAGCTCTCCCTGTTTTTGCCTCAAGTCTCAAATAAAATGCAATTAGTGGCTTTAAAAGACTTGAAAAAATTATTTGTTTCTTTATTTGGTGTGAGTTTCTTTGGACAGTTCTTGTCTGACAGCTACACGCAGTAAAACACTGTGGAAAGTTGACACAGACCAAGTCATTGCCCTAAACATTTAACAATTAAGCTGTCCCCATTTTGAAGTATTTCTAAATGGTGTTCTCTGTCTTGTAACTGGGATTAGCAAATTTATGCTGTGTTTTCAGATAATTTACTGTTCTGTTTAAAAACCAGTAAATGCTCAGTTGTCAGTATCTCAATTGTTCCAGTTAAAAGGAAACAAAGAAGCTCAAGTTCTGAAGGTGCCATAAGTAAAGTCCTCTAATTTTCATCTCTCCAGTTTTAAGATGTGCATTTATAGATTCAGTTCAAAAGAGCCAGGAGGGATGCTTCCGAGTGGTGTTCTGTTTTGGTTAGAAGCACCAACTATAGTACTTTAACTTTGTATACCTGTGTGTGGTGTTATATGTATTTTAAAGAAAGATTAAGAGGAGAGAGCACCTATTCCATACTGAATCCCATTTAATTTTAGATGGGAAAAAATGGCACAGAACTAGTCTGTATGGTTTATTGGAAGGTATACATTTGCATACATTGTATCATGATTTTCTTCTTTATTGAGTTTTTTTTTTACTTAGATGAAATCTAGACAAGTGCTTTTGCTAGATTGGTGCCATTTTAATTAATTGAAAAGTCTCGAGACAGCAGCCTGTGTTGTACAGTTTTCTTTTTGAAAAGCTTCACCTCCTTATATAGCCAATAGAAGTGAGGAGGGTTTAAACAGAATTACAGGCATCTGATGCCTTTTTGATAGAGGTAAAGCAGACTAAGGAGTTAATTTTGTGTTTATGCCTTCTGAAATTACTAAAAAAAAAAAATAAAAAAAAGTATGTGATACTGTGTATACAGGGAGAAAAGCTACTTTCTGTCATAGCAAGATTGAGATCCTGGATGAAAGGGCCCTGTTCTGAGGATACTTATAGATGAAAAGAGTGAGGCCAGCAGGTTGAGGGAGTTGATCCTTCCCCCTTACTCGGCCCTAATGAGGCCACATCTGGAGTGCTGTGACCAGTTCTGGGCTCCTCAGTACAGGAAACACAAGGTACTGTTGAGAGTCCAGTGGAGGACCACAAAGATGATTAAGGGACTGGAGCATGTCTCTTATGAGGAAAAACTGTGGGAGCTGGGCCTGTTTAGTCTAAGGAAGAGAGAGGAGATCTCATTAATGCATATAAATATCTCAAGGTCCCAAGAGTGGTGTCTTTTCCGTGGTGCCCAGTGACAAGACGAGAAGCAATGGCCATAAACTAAAACTCAAGAAGTTTCACCTCAACATGAAGAACTTCTTTACATTGATAGTGGTAGAGCACTGGAACAGGCTGCCCAGAGAGGTCGTGGAGTCTCCTTCTCTGGAGACATTCAGAACCCGCCTGGGTGCATTTCTGTGTAACCTGCTCTAGGTGACCCTGCCTTGGAAGGAAGGTTGGACTAGATGATATCCAGAGGCCCCTTCCAAACCCTAATAACTCTATGATTCGGTGAAAATCAGTTATTTTAGTTGTTGCAGTATACTAACTTGTTGCAATGACGGTACTGCAATATGAATGCACCTAGGACTGTTTTCAAGGTCCTGCATATCTAACCCTCACCGGAGTCGGCCCGCACTTCGGTGCCGCTGCGCTCCCTCTGTCCCCCCTCGCCGCGCGCACGTCCCGCCTGGCTCGGACTGCCCGCGGGGAGCTCCCGGCGCGCGGGGCGGGAAGGACGGGAGGAGGAGCCGCGGCGCCGCAGTGGAGCCTCCGCCAGGTGGCAGGAGCCGGCCGTCCCGGGGCCCGGAGCCTCCGGCACAGTGCAGGGGCGGCGGCGGCATCGGGCGGCTTTTTCGAGAGAGGTGGCTAATCACCTGCGCAAGCCGTGCACCCTCTTAGGGGAGCCCGGGTCCGGGTCTTGGCCTGTCCCAGGGCTTTCTCAGTGCAGAAAGCCGCTCTGCCCGCCCTCACCTGCTCGGTACGTCGCCATGTACTCTGCGGCTGTGCTCCGTCCTCCTGCATCCCACATCTTGCATCCTGCACCCAGGGAAGTGGGACCAGGCTTGGGTCCACCCTTGTGGGCGCCCCGCTTCTGCCACCTGCTACAGCACACATCCTGGCACGGAGGGCAGAGCTCAGACTAAATTATCTGTTTCCTTGGCAAAAACTTGCTCTGAAATTTTTTTCCATCTGGAAAATGAGGAAAGCTTTGTATACAGTCTGATTTTGTCTATAATGAGACCCTTTACACTTGTAAAGACTGCAGAGGCATTTTGGGGTTTCTGCCTGTGTCTGTGCTGCTCTACTTTCCCAGCACCACTGTTATAAAGTATTTCATTAAAAGCCACTGTCTCTACATCAGAATGAGTTGTGGCATTGGTGGACTTTATTTTGCTTTATTTTTTCCCCTCAAATCTTGTTGAGCTGTAGGAAAGCCTTTCCTTCTTTCCCTACCCCTGAAAAAGAAAATGTCAAGCAAAGTATGTAATATCAAATGAAACATGGCACTGAATATACTCTGACAAGTCATGATAGAAAATTTGAGTTCTGAACAATAACTAGATGGAAGAGCCCAGGAACAGAAATTATTTGAGAAAAACTAGATCTGTGTACTGGATTAAGTCAAGGAAATTCTGATAATGAGGCCCTAACGGTTATCCATTTTTTTTCCTATAATAGATGCTTCTGAATTCTGCTTATTGAAAGAAACAAATTTTAGTTTAGGATTCCAGCACTTGCAAAGTGTATATATGACAGAGCTGAAACCAGGTGAGGTATTGCATATTGTTTAAAGGTCTCAGAGGATACTCTGAGCTGTAGAGGTGAAGGTTTCTTAAAATTCCTGGCAGTGCCTGAAAAATCCACTGTAGTAAGTTTAAATTATTTTGATGGTTAGAAATGTCTGCTTTCTTTGAACTCTTCAGCTGAATTAAAAAGTGTAGAGCAACCACGGGTAGGAAAATCAGCTTCTCTATGGCAAGATTAGATAAAGAGTCATTTATAACAGGTCCATATCTCTGACCAAAGGTTTTATGAAATTTGGGTTTTAGCTTGGAGTTGTTTTCCTCCTGGTCCTCGCCACCACCCCCCCGCACCACCACCTCCAAGATAAGTGCAGATGTGCTGAGAGGCAGCAGTAGAACTCTGCGGCAGCCGCATGCAGTTCCCATGCAGAGCAGAGGATGGCCTGCAAGGACAGCGCCTCAGCACTGTGTTCTTGGCAGAAATGGGATGTGCGTACACCAGCCAGCGAGGAGTCACGTTATTTGTGACGGACACCTCTGCCCGCCCACGCAGGACAGTGGCTGAGCACTGCTGAACATCCCCACTGCCGCCCCAGGTCACCTACCTCCCCTGAAATTTGTAGGAAACAAAGCATTGGACAGTGACCTCCTCCCAGCCCTGCAGATTTTTGATCAAATTGCTACTGTCAAGGTTTGCATTTGTTGTAGTGCTTTTCTTCAGATAAATTTAGCTCTAAATTCCATACCCCAAGGCGAAGACAATTTGAACTCTGTTGCTCAGTGCAAATACAATAATGACTGAAGTATAGCTCTGGGTATATGCACACATACGGAGGAAAACAAATATATTCGTAATAAAACCCGCATAAAAGCAGGCAGGGGATAGCTGGAAAAATCTTCCAGTATTTGCGATAGCGATGATAAATGATGCTTCCTGTTCAAATCCAATATTGCAAGGACAGACCAGCTTGAAATTGTGCTTGATTCTGGACACAGGAGAGGAAGGTCATTTGTAACATGTTGTGTTATTACCCCGAACTAAACTAAAAGACAGCAGAATTAATTAATTGATGTACGCTTCAATTTTTGTTTAAAATGTATGGATGATTGGAAAGTAGCTCATTTACTTACGTCCTTTATGTTCTCCAAGCTTTCTTGGAGACTATATATATTTGTATGTACATATTTATGTGTTTTTTCATTCCAGGACTTGGTTGACTGTTGGTGACAAATGTGATTTGTGTTCTCCACTTCTGTTAAGCAGGAGGACGTTTTTATATATAATACTTCTTGCACTCAGAATCAGTTTAGCATCCACTCATTCCCTGTGTTTCTGAAGGGATAGCCTGGTGGCATGACTGTCTCTTGCTGCTGTTCCTAAAGGTATATACTCCACAATTCTAACATTCCTTTAAGGAAGCAGGTAGTTATTCATGTCATGGCTAGATCTCATTAATTATTTGCTGTCTATGTAAAGCACTCTCCAATTATACCACCAGGTACCTGTTGTTAAGCTACATTTATCTTTGCCTTCATTGTGCTTTTGCCGTAGCAAATTCTCTTGCATCTCTGAGAGTTGCTATTTGTTCCTTAGTACCTAATGTTTTACAATCTCCTGACCTGATTTTTCCCAAACATCTTCGTATCATAAATCATAGGTCCTCAACTTTCTGTTCTTCTCCCAAACCATGTGGCCACAGCGGCAAGAAAATAAAGCTAGTGGGACATACCATTTAAGAAAGACTTTTTGTATTTTCCTTTTTTTAGAGGAGTCTTCATTTTCTCAAACATTAACTGCAATGTGTCTTTATAAATCTTGTTCTCTTTTCCCACAGGATTTGCAAATAGAACGAGAGAGGACCGTGTATAATATTTCTGGTGGCTGCACAGCCCTTGTGGTGGTGTATTTATTGGGGAAACTGTATGTGGCAAACGCTGGTGATAGCAGGTAAGTGGGGTGTCTTCCCAACTAGTCATTCACCTCAGGCTCCTGAGGTCTGGTGTTACTATTGCAAACAGTATCACAAGAGGATTGTGTTTCTTGGCTGAACACTTAACAGTTCTCACAGAAATGAATGCAAATGGCAGTGATAGAGTTGGTATCTTGTCAAGTGGTGGTTGCAGCCAGGGAAGTTGACAACACTTCTGGTCCCGTAGCAGTTTCTGAATGACTTGATGGTTGCAGAGAAGTGGAAAGATGCTAAAAAGCCATTGAGAAGAGTTGTTAGGTGTGTAGTAGAGTTGTGTGTTTAACTTTTGACAAGATGACTGCATCTGGAACAGCTATGGTAGGGCTGCATTTGTTCGGTAGGAAGTTCTGTGGCTCCTGTTGCCAGGCTTAGTCTTCACAGGCCACTTGGCTCTCAGATATTCATATAGATGAAGGTAGTGATCTGTAAGCAAATACCTGCTACTCTTGTAATGGGGGAGGAGGAGAGGGAGATAGACTATCACAGTTTAGGTTTTTTATTTTGTACTGTTCTGACTCATGTACTTGTCCATTTCTCAGAACTGAATGTTGTTCATGAGCTCTTGCTTTTTTATATTTTGAAGTTGGATGCCTGAAGACTCACAACAAGAAGCTTTTTCTTTGTCTTCTGATGTTGCTAAAGATAGGAGCATACTGGAAATCTCTGACTTGCATTCTTTTCCCCTCACTCACTCTCTGCCCATACTACCATCAGAGAGAGAGATAATGAAGCTCTTGCAAGACTTCAGATCTTCACATTTCTTTTGGCAGCACACTGTGTAAATAGGACAGGGAGAATAGTTCCCCATGTGATACAAACTGCTGTTGTATTCTGTTCATTAACAGCTTAATAATTAAAGTCTGCAAAGGTACTGAACCATACTGTCTTTAGGTGAAAGCTGTTTTGTTTATGCATTTGCGTTTAAGATTTGTGCACACACAGTTCATATTAGTAGTGTGTACACCCCTCTACTTACAGAGACAACACTCAAGAGCAAAGAGTTTTGTAGTTTAAACTTAACATTTTTATTGCCTCTCGCTGCTTTAAACTGTGTAGGAAATCAGATAAATACTTTAGGCATAAAATTCCTATTCTTTTCATTTGGGTGATTGTTTTTAAGATGGTAAATTTGCTGTATATGTTGAAAGTTGTTTGCTCAGTTCCTCTTGTCAAGTGACATGTTGGAATCTCCTTTTTGCATCAAATGTCAAGTGACTCCTGACATGGTAGCTGCAAACATGTTTGAGGTGATCATCCATCCAGTCATCAGAACCACTAGCTGCACTACGTTCTATCTCTTCTGCCATTAAATTAGAAATAATCATGTTTTCTTGTGCTATTGCACTTGAAATACAGTTGAATCTCTTCCTTTGAGCTGGCTAATTTGCTTTACTGTCTCTTGAAAGTGTGCTGCGCAAAACTGGCCATACAGGACTTACTTCTCAGTAGCTAAGACCTTTGTTCATGAATGACTGGGACTGGTTGCTTCCAGTTCCTCCAGAATTCTTCCTGTGCTCCCCAAGGGTAGCCTCAGCTCCGTTGTAGCCTCTGATACCCAAGGGGAAGAAACTCTTGTTGACAGTGATCTGGAGTTGGTGCCAGTGTATTGGCATAGCTGTAGTTAAAGACACTAAGTCTTCAAGAAGCTTTGTATGTTCATTAAGTCCATCCAAAATATCTCTTCAGAAAAAGAGCAGGAATCAGAAAGGAAGCCATCAGAAAGGCTGGGTGCTGTTTGAACCAGGACTCAAATTTTTCTACTCATTCCTCACATCTTGTAGATAATAAAGTCCCTCCAGATCCAAAATCGTTTAGTTTTGGACTTTCCAAATGAACCTCACATAAAACCTTTCTCATGCTGAGGAGAACTGTCCCAAAATCTTTCATTTTCAAATAAGTCCATCCCTCGATTTTCCTAGCTCAAAACAAAATAAAAGCTTTAAAGTACAGAAGATCGGTTAGTCTGGCTCTCACTCCCACGAAATCCTCACTTACCCTCTTTCAGGGGAAAAAAGCGGCTATTGCAGAACATCCAAGTTGCTGTCATGACTATAAGGACATTTTAGGACTAGAAAAGCAGCTCTGAGATTGTCTGCCCATTGCCAGGGTGCACAGTGCATTCATTCATTTTGAAGAGCCAGTTATGTAGTCAAGAAGTTTTATTTGTGTTAGTTGGAAAAATGTGTTCCTTTTTGCTGTCTCATGCCTTGTGTGGTCAGCTTTGTGGTTTGCACAGATACAGGGAAGGGCGGTGAGAAATACAATAAGGAATCTACTTAAAGAAATGTTTTACTGCTCTTGAGAAGAAGGGTGGGTTTGTTTTTTCACTCAAACAGGGGACTTCTGCTTGTTGCTCTTGAAACTAGATGCCAAAACCCTTAGTACTTTAGTTTCTTTGAGTTCACCTTCTTATTTGTGCCTCTCCCCTCTCCTCATTCTCCTTCTTTCCTCTCTGCTACACCACTGGAAAAAGCTTGTAAATAAATCGAGTTACACTTCTCACAGATAGTGAGAGTAGGTTTCATGCTGCAAGGGTGGGAAATAAACACTTTGGGTTCATGCAAATCTCATTTGTACTGCCTCTCCCAAGAAGAAGGTTAGATCTTTTAATTTTGGGCAACTTAAAAACAGCAGAAGCTTTTAAAGTTGGGTTTTGAACAGCTGCTTCTGTCAGAAGACCAAGGTATGTGCAACAAACTGTACTATCACAATGAAACTAAGGAAATGTTAAGTGTGAGACTTGAATAATAATGTACTGTGTGGTGCCAGCTATACCTCAGACTTATGTCTGTGGTATTCAGTTTATCCACCAAAGCTTCTCAAATCTAATCATTTCATGCCACGTACCCTGGCAGTGTTGTATAGCAGCTGTCCTTTTGTAGTTGATGTGTAATTACATCATGAAAAGACTTTAATTACCGTATTACTAAATTACCAGCCAGCAATCCTTTCAGGTTCAGCCCTAGCTCGCTTCTGTATGGACTATTAGGCTTCTCCAAGCTGAACACTTTTTTTTTGGTGTAAAAGGGAGCAAAATTGTTCTAATTGTAGGTTTTGTTATGAACTATTATTGAGCCTGATGTTATGGCATCACTAATGTCAATGATATAATTAAACTTCTGCTAACGATGCAATCACAGTTCCGTAATAATTATACGTTAACTGCACATGATACCAGAACCTTACTAAAAATGAGGTGATGTATTCAGAGCCTGATAAAAACAACGTGGAAGGAGCCGCTTTCATTCTCTAATGGCTTGTCTGATCATTCTTTGACTCTGCCATGAATATACCTTCTTGTACGGTCAAAATTCATATCTGAATATCAGCCAAAGCTTTTTCTAATGTTTCTTTCTCTCTCTTCTTTTCAGTGACTAGCATTGTCCATGCAAGGTTTTCTGATTAGAGACTGATAGTAGTACAGTCAGCTATCCAATATATAGTGCTTTTCTGGTGAGCATTGAGGTGCTGTGTTTTGCTTTGACATATATATGCTATGGAAACTAGGCCAGGCTATTGGAATAGCTGCTTTTTTTTAATATGGAGTAGTAAATCTTCTCTGATCATTGTTTTAAATAGTATTGTTCAATTTTATATTGTTGAAATGACTTTGACTTCTAAACTGCTGTAACACGCCTTGTTAATCTCAGTTCTTTTTAGTTTTATGCTCCTTATTAGGATGTTGTTTTATAGCTAGTGATGAAGCAGTAGTAAAATAGAGACCTAATGGTTTACTGATTACTGCCAAATTATTGTATAGCCTCATGCGACACAACATTTGTCTAATGTCACTGCAGTGACAGTTAATATGATCATATTGCATTACAGTCTTTGGCATGAGTGTTGTTCTGGCATTTGTGTTGTCTGGCTAAGGAGCTGCTTGGAGACTGCAGGCGCTTCCATTTTGTGCTGTGCTTCGAGCCATGTAGTGTAGCTGTACTTTTATCATTTTACAAGAAGCAGAACACTGCAAGCTGATTTGACTTTTCCATACGCCCTGAAACACTCACTAAATCTGCAGATGGGCTCTGGGCTTTTTTGATTTATTGGCAGAACATGGCATCAAAGCAAAGAGCCTGATGTTTTGAAGGCTTTACAGACTTACAGGGTCACTGAATTTTTTGCTTAACTTCATCAGCTCTCTTTATCATCTTTTTGTGTCCTTGCTTTTTCTCCCCTGTACTTATGTTTTTAGGGCATATTCACCCTCTGCTTGAACATATATCCTCCCATCCAGAATAGATTTTCTCCTTTTCGCAAGTGTAGAATTAATGCTAAGGCATTTGGGCTTATTAAATGATAGGAGCTTGTTGAGTGAATGTTTTTGTGGTGCTTCCAAGTGGATGCAGGTAAAGCAACTTCATTAGTACTTCCAAGAGCCCAAATGTGGAAAAGTGTGTTTGTAACATAGTCTTCTCCCAGTGTAATAAAATAGTGAAATGAAAATTGAATTTGTTTACCATTTCAATCCTTTCTGGATTTGCTGCTTGTGTTGAAACTCACTACGTTTGTCCTTCCTCTTCTTTGTCATGGTGCTTGTCAGCTGCTTCCCTCATGCTTGGTTCTCATTGTAGGAAGTCAAATTTGGGGCATTAATTTGCTTTTATGAAGTAAATGAGAGGGGCATGAAAACAGCCACGTATCTGCTGACTGGCACTGTAGCTTAAATAGAATTTCTGAGAAGTAAGAATTGATGATTCTGACCCATATTTGTAGTTCATGGTATCTGACCTCTTCTTTGAGGTGCTCCAGCAGGGTCGTTTTTGCCAGAAGCGCTAATACTGTGTAAGAATGGAAACTAAAAAGTGAAAATATTGCTATTGTAGAACTAGTTTACTTTAATCTTTGGTTTAGTGTCTTTCTAGGAAGCTTTAATTTTCTGGTTTTTGTAACTACCCGTCTTCTAATCTAAATAGTGTGTTCCCTGTTTTCCTTGAGTGGTCTGCCTAAGCCCTGTCTTCTTACGTCTGTGTCTGTA